GAAACTTGGAATCATACGACTTGTATTGTGTGATGAATGAGAATCTTTCATCTTTGGAAAATTAAGACCAAGTCCTTGTTCACAGGTAGATGTGAGTCAAGTGAAGGACTGAAGGATCTGGTACACATTGATGTGCACTGGTCAAGTCCGCCACAAAGAACGATAAGACTATCCATCATGATTTACTAAAAGTTTAGTAAATATGGTTATGCTTACAAGATTAAGTTTGTTTCTAAATCATTGAAAAGTTTCAATGTATAGCAGAACGAATAAGAAGAATCAATTAGGCAGAAAGATAAAAGTTTCTCTAATCTAAAACGAAAGGAGAGTACTTGAGTATCATGTTTTATGATCATCTTAGTGATTATGGAACCATGTCACAATTGATCCTCTAAGGACACCTTAGTACATTTGTATGGCTAAGAAGCGGAATCGGGAATTGTTGAAATGGTTGAATCAAAAAGGATGAGTCATACTTCGTTTCAAAATCAAGTCTTAGAGTCATACTCCAAGATTGCGCCTTGAGTGACATATCTAAAGTAGGTTTACAACACCTCATGAAATGTGGAGTAGAAATGTTTCTTACTCATACACATTTGAAATTGGTAGTTGTGATGTCTTGGATAAGACAAAGACCAACTAAGACCAATTATATGAAGTGTTTTTCTTGATAAGAACTCGTGCTAATTCTTGAATATTTGTTTGTCGAGGAATGTTCCTTAACAAGAGAATCTTATATGTCAATAGTTCAGTAGGAGTCTTAAAAGATCTTGAAAAGTTTCAAGAACTAATCAAGAATAAACCTATTGTTTATCACTAGCACACGACTTGAGGTTTGCAACCTATCGTGTTGACATATTCTTGTTTTTGTGCCCGTTACAATTAAGTTAACTATGCATGTGAGTTCTATGAGTTCTCATTTGATTGCATAAGGCAAAGCACATTGGTCAATGAAAGTACATTGATCGATAGGGGTGAGCTGCACAACAACTTGGAAGCAATGGTAGGCCATTGTGCTACTAGATGGCAAGAAATTAAGATTGAACAAGTTCAGTCCATATGAGTTTGGATTTTTCACAAACCTTATCTTGTGATTATGGTTATGACAAATTTACATGGATAAGAACGCATACACTATAAAACCTAAGTGGCAAAAGGTTTCTCTCCTTCATGAAAATGATTGTGAGGAAATACTTTCACTGGTAGATTTTAAGCAGATAGCAGTTGTGTTAATTGCGTTCTCAAATTCGATTATGATTACGGCATCTCTCTTCATAGTTCGAATTGTGAGAAATGGCAAATAGGATGAACATTCGGGACTTGCTGCTGTAAGTTCTGAAATAGTTTAGACATACATATGACCTATCTAAGGAAATGTGTATGAGTTTGAGAAGCCTAGATAGAGTCTTATCGAAGCATCTTGTATCAGAAGTCTGAACTTTGGTAAGAAAGTCAATAAGTATTGATTTCTAGAAGTCCAGCTGATTTCTGGGTACATGTCAAAACTAGTGGGAGCATAAGTGTTATGCTACTAAGGACATAATTATTGTGCTCGTGGGAGCATAATCATTATGATAGGTGTTGCGAGTTAGCAATGTTATTTACAGGAAACAAAGTTTTTATTTGCAAAGTTGCAGAGTTTGAAAAGTTGTTTTGCTATAGTAAGGGAGAGGAGACTTATAATTTATTTCGAATCTAAAAGTTTAGATTGAAATTTTAATCGAACTTAGTCATGTGCATATATGAATATCAGGTTGGAATGTTTCAACGTTGTAAATTCTATATATGGAAATATTATAGCAAGAGACTGGTAACGTATCATGTCTTTATGTAAGACACTATGAATCGTATCTTATACGCTTCGGGTATTGGATCGATTGATATGGTTTATGTAGTTGTTATGACTAATATGGATTATGTGGTTATGTGGATTGTGTGGGGTATGCTCTGGGGAACTCACTAAGCTTCGTGCTTACAATTTTGTTTATGGTTTCAGGAATCATCGGTTTGGAAAGGAAGGGTCCGACTTGATCGTAGCGCACACACTCGTGTTTTCCGCATTATGTGATTTTGGGACGTAACTCTGATAAATGTTTTAATTAAGCAATGTTTTTGAATGATTGGATGAAGTAGCATTCGTGTTTGACTATAATGAAAAATGAAATTTTTACCCTTGATTCTTGGGTCGTTACACATACCTACTCTCATTACGAACACATGACCAAAATCGCCTTCCAGGGTTGCAATCAGACTAGGATGTGACAATAACAAGACCATGTCTTCCACATGGGAAAATCGCCATTCTTGTGTGTGTTCTTGAGCTTGGTACACTATACAGATGAAGCCTTAGAGGAATATCAGGAAGAAGATGTCAATATATAAGTAAAAATTTAAACCTAAGCTATAATAATGAAAATGCTCTCATGTACAAGGCACATGGAGCAAGTTAATGGTGCATCAAAGGAGCATCCACACTAAGGGTTGTTTTTGTGCAAGGTTTGTTCCGTAGGGATCATCCATGCAAAAGAGGTTTCGTAGAGACTATTTTAGGAACAAACGGAAAAGCTTGAGAACCATTTGTGAAATTTTATCTATATTTTATGGTTAATTTTATACCCCAAATTGCTTATTATGCCCTCATGTGTGAGGATTTGACTGTGTATACCCTATGTTTGATTTTTTGTTGTGAGTGGGGATATATAGTACTACCTTCGTCCCATATTTATTGTTCACTTTTGATTTTTGAAGTATTTATTCTTCAACTTTGACCTTAAGTATTTTTGTTTTTGATATATAATACTTGATGCAAAATATATGAATGGATTGTGTTTCAAATGTTTTTTTATTGGTATAAATTTCATCAAGTAATTTATAACACAAATAAAAATATTTAAGGTCAAAATTGAATAATAAAAACTTGAAAAATCAAAAGTGAACAATAAATATAGGATGGACGGAGTAATATCTAGTAATAGTAGCACCGTGTGTACATGATGAATGAAATAATAATAGAATCCGGTATCCACAAGCAAGTTTCCTCGCTAAAGCTCTTTAAAGTTTGAACCAGTCTGTTGTCTGATAAATAGTTTTTGACCATAATAAGATGATTGAAGAAATTATTACTATTTTAGTGTATTTTCAAAAATATTTACCATATTGGTATTTCTTTTCATTTTTCTTTATTTTTCAGCTTTTCTTAATGTTTTTTTTTTAATTTTAAATATCTGATTTTTTTTACCTTTTCTCTTTTTTTTTACCTTTATACTCTTTTGTTATTTTTTTAAATAATAGTTTTTATTTCAAATTTTTCCCTTTTTTTACTGTTTTTTTAATAACAATTTTTTTTATCTTTTTTATTTTTATTTTTTTATATTATATATCCGTTTTTTATACAAACCTTTAACCATCAAATTTTTAGCCATCATAAATTAAACATACAATATATTTGAATGTGCAAAAACTTCAACATTACACATACAATGTTTTTAAGTAAATAATAATAATAATAATAATAATAATAATAAACCTCATTGTTTGTTACAAAAAAAAAAAAAAAAAAAAAAAAAAAAAAAACCACAATTAAAAATTAAAAAAAAAAAACCTCCAACATTGTTTATTACAAAAAGAAAAACATCACAATTAGCTTTTAACCTATACCAAATTCTTATCTATAAAATAATAATAATAATAATAATAATAATAATAATAAGAGAATATTCACAACAATACCATAAAAGAATATTGTCTTTTTAATTACATTGACTTAGACGGACATCGCTTTCGATTATGACCCAGTTATCTACAAAAAATATTATCGTTTTCGATTGTGGAATTTGTAGGTAACTGGGTCATAATCGAAAACGATGTTCGTCTAAGCCAAAATAATAAAAAGACAATATTTTTTATGGTATTGTTGTGGCTATTCTCTTGTTCTTTTTTTTCTATTTTTTTTACATGTAAGGATTTGGTACCGGTTCAAGTTCAAGATAATTGTGATGTTTTTCTTTTTGTAACAAACAATGTTGATGTTTTTTTTTTAATTGTCGTGTTTTTTTCGTAACAAACAATGTGGAGTTTTTTTACCTTAAAAACATTATATGTGTAATGTTGGAGTTTTTGCACCTTAAAGTATATTGTTTGTTTAATTTTTTATGGCTAAAATTTGATGGTCAAAGGTTTGTATAAGAAAAACAAATATTTAAAACAAAAAAATAAAAATAAAAATAATTAATTGTTATTAGAAAAACAATAAAAAAAAATTGAAATAAAAACTGTTATTTAAAAAAATAACAAAACAGTAAAAATGTAAAATAAAAGAGAAAAGAAAAAAATCGGATATTTAAAATAAAAACATTAAGAAAAACTGAAAATTAAAGAAAAATGAGAAAAAATACTAATATGATAAATATTTTTAAAAGTAGACAAAAGTGCAAAAATGTCCCTGTAGTATGATTTTTTGGGGGTTTTAGTCCAAACCACAACTTTTTTGGATTGATGGTCATTTTGAACTAGTTTCAAACTAAAAAGACTATTATATACCCTTAATGAATTTAATTTTTATTTTTCTTTCACATTTTAAAATTATTATTATTATTAAATATAAAATTGGGCCCACATGTCCTCTCACTCTCACACACACTCTCTCTCTCTCTCTCCTCTCTCTCTCTCTCTCTCTCTCTCTCTCAATTACCCGTCTATTGTCGTTGTTGTATGATGGCCACCAAACACCGCCAAGGACCACCGCACAACCGTTGTTTCATCAACCAAACCCACCCAAACCTCCTTCCTTCTCCGTCTGTTACTACATTTTCCCCTCTTCCTCGCTGTGTGCTACTAGACAGAAGAAAAACAATAAAACGAGAGTTGTCACTTCTATCGCCAGCCGCCCATCGCCGCTAAACGCCACCGCTGTTGAGCTACAGACCATCGGAAGCAGACCACCGTCACCACCGGGTTGCTGTTGTTTTTTATCACCACCGACCCCTTCCCTCCTCTCCCTCTCATTCGTTACCGGCAGAAGAGAAACCGGGCAGCAAGGTCGCCATCCCACTACGGCCGCCGGGGCTCTTTCCTCCATAAAAAAATTTCGTCGTCACCGCTACTTTTTCCCTCCGTCGTACCCATCTACGTTCGCCTCCATCCTCATCGGACTCGTCAGAAACAGAAATGGAAGCAGCGAAGCTCCCATCATCGCCCACTGTCACTGCTACTGTGGAGCTTCGACACCATGACTGTTGTTGTGAATTCAGAACTCTACAACCACCACTCTTGCCGGTACCTGCCTTCCTTGCTTTCATTCGTTTGTAGCTGCCGAAAACCACCACCACCACCGTGAGGGTGGTGTTGCTATCGTGACCACCGAGAAACTCTCACCACCACCTGGAACACCCCCAGTCACCCTTAATGCAGGAGGTATTGATCAACCATCACTTTTTTTGTTGATTGCTTCCATTGTTCTTATGTCAGCCGGGATCGAAGGAAATGGGTCTCGTATCCCATAATCGTGACTTGTAAAAGGGGGGGGGGGGGGGGGGGGGGGGGGGGGGAGAGAGAGAGAGAGAGAGAGGTGGGCCCCATAATTTTTATTAATAATACTTTAAATTAAATAGCAAAAACCATAAAAAAATGTATCAGAAGGGCATTTTAGTCTTTTCAGTTTTTTTGGGGACCAAAAGTGCAAGGATAGCTCAAAAAGACCATCAATCCAAAAAAGTCATGATTTTGATTAAAACCCTAAAAAAATGCATACACAATGACCATTTTTGCAATTGTATCTTAAAAGTATACTGAAATGATAAATACTATAAATCACCTTATTATCGTCTCATCTATCATAAACCATGAAAAAGACGATTATACCGTTAAAATAGCACAAACCCCAGGAAGAAAATCGAGAATTTGAAAAACACCCTTCCAGAAAATGCAAACAAGAATTCGGCCGCTGAAATGTCTCTGCTGTAGAAATTTTCAAATATTTTCCAAACCCAAAGCTCAAACTCTCGTCCAATTCAAGCATAATCAGTCTCTGGTTCTCATTCAGCAGGAATCAACGTCAAATTTTCGAACTTTTCATGATGAAACTCGTGAGATTCCAGAGTATTGCAGCCAAGGCAAACACGAATTTCTCCGATCACCGGTACCAAGTAAGGACGAATCCTCCGCCATGGATAGCAAAGCCCTCGAAGTCCAAACCCTTCTCAAGCAAATCAACGGGCAAAAGTCCGTGAACGAAATCGAACAAGCTCTCACTCTATTAGGGCTTTCGTTAAACGAGGATTTAGTGCTTAACGTTCTTCGCCGGCACCGTTCCGATTGGAAATCAGCTTATTTATTCTTTAACTGGGTATCTAACTCAAGCGGGTACTCACCCGGAACAGGTTCCTACAATGAAATCCTCGACATTTTAGGCCGAATGAAGCGTTTCAATGAAGTCACCCAACTGCTCGACGAAATGTCTAAGAGAAATAAGAGCCTAATCAATGAAAGAACGTACGGGATTGTAGTAAACAGGTACGCATCAGGACATATGATAGAGGAAGCTACCAATTTCTTCTACAAGAGAATCGAATTCGGTCTCCAACTCGATCTAATAGCTTTTCAAACTCTTCTACTCTCTCTATGTCGATACAAACACGTCGAAGCTGCAGAGTTTTTATTCCACTCCAAGAAAAACGAGTTTCAGTTTCATCACAACATTAAAACCATGAACATCATCCTCAACGGATGGTGTGTTTTGGGTAGCTTACGTGAAGCAAAAAGATTCTGGAACGACATCGTTACATCCAAACACAAACCAGATAAGTTCACATACTCCATCTTCATCAATTCTTTAACCAAATCAGGAAAGATAAGCACAGCAGTTAAGCTCTTCCAAGCCATGTGGGAAAAAGGTTGCACCCCGGATGTAACTATCTGCAACACCATCATCGACGGGTTGTGCTTCAAGAAACGAATCCCTCAAGCTCTTGAAATCTTCAAAGAAATGAACGAAAGAGAATGTTGCCCCAATGTTTCGACTTACAACTCTTTGATAAAACATATGTGTAAGATTGGGAGAATGGATAAGGTCGATGAGCTTTTGAGGGAGATGAAGGAGAAAGGAGGGGATTGTTCACCAAATGATAGGACGTATGGGTACTTGTTAAACTCTGCAAAAACAGTTGAACAAGTTGTGGGGATTAAAGAGGATATGGAGAGAAGTGGGGTGAAGATGATGAGTGATGGGTATAATTTGATGTTGAGGCTTTTTATGGGGTGGGGTGATGAAGAAAGGGTGACGTGGACATGGAGGGAGATGGAGAAGAGTGGGGTGGGGCCTGATCAGAGGTCGTATACTGTAATGGTGCATGGGCTTTATGAAAAGGGGAAGATGGAGGAAGCTTTGGTATATTATAATATGATGGTGTCGAAGGGAATGGTTTCGGAGCCAAGAACGAAGGTTTTAGTTCAAGCTATTAATATTAAGTTGAAAGAGGGAGGACTTGAAACCAAAGCATAGAGCTTCATTAGTGTATATCCGAATTGTGTTGCTTTTATTGATGAATGCAACAATATTTTGATTTTAGAGCAAGATTTAAATGCTTATTCTGAAGTAACTAGAGATGGAAGTGATTCGGAAGTTGTGTATTGTTAGTATTATGAGTTAATGCCATATATGTTATGTGAAGGTGTTCAAGAAAATCAACACAATCTCTATTCTTTTTGTAGAGATTGTCCAGACAGACATACTCATGATTTATACAACTCACAAGTATCTTTGAAAATGCTCCCTTTCTCAAAAACTCTTTTCTCCTTTATAAACTATGGGTTATTGTCACTGGAGCGCAACAATTTTTCGTATATTGGTTTAAATAGTCCATCGTGACTATTTTTTGCATTTGAGGGGCATGTACTTGTATTTTACCGTTTGAAAATGTCCTTTTACCCAATTTAGCAAGTATTCCTGCGTAGCGTAGTTACTTGCCAAGTAAGCAGGTTAGTGAATACATATAACCTAGACAAACTCACTAATGAGTCGACACACTTGCAGGAATAGGGTCAACCATCCACATCTCTTTGACCCTTTCTTCTTAACCTATACTTGCACGCTTTTTGTTGTGATGACCTTTTTTCTTCTTCATGTGAATATGCACATGGAGTGTTTGAATCATGGCTTCATCCATGCTGAGAAAATTTATAGGTACAAAGACCATCAAGTGCAACACGTGATAAGGGTTTCGATAAGGGTTTTAATTTCGCTCACAGGGTAGAGGAGATTCGGCAAGTGTACGCTTCTACCGGATCAACTCTTCTTTCTCCAAAATCACGATCTGTTGTTGTTAATTCAATAGAAATGGGTTCAATGAGCCCATTAGTGCTCGGTTCAACTCTATCGATGTCCCCTACGACATCTCCTATGTGGCAGAACAAGGGTTTCAATTGCCCCTTTATAATCCAACCTCCACCCTTTTTCTCTCATCGAATTTCAGCTTTGGAAAGAAGGAAGCTTTTCTTTTACAACAATGGCAGTCGATTGCGTAGGAGTTCAAATTGTTGATAATCTCAATCGGATGTTTCAGTTAACGAGTCATGATTTTAATGTTTCCTCTAATTACAAGCAATCGGTATCTGGTATCTGGTATCTGGCTTAAAACGCACCGGTCACGCTTGATTCCACCGCGGACCGTCGTCGTCTTCTTCCACCGACAGTCAAGGGACCTCTACTTCTTCGCAATCAGAGGAGAAACAACAGGATGCGCCGTTGACATCATCCAAGGCGTGTTTTCTAAGAGAAGGTGTAGCGCCAACAATCCTGCTGCTTCTTTACATAGATCTGGAAGGGAGAATCGTTCAAGCGATTGCAAGTGTTGCAAGAGAAGGTATGTGTACACATTTGAGCAAAAATCTATCCTATTTGTCTTTCGTACGCCTCATAATTCATAAATTAATATGTTTATTCTCTTCCGTTCTCAAGAAAATCGGATCAAAACGTGAAATAAGGAGAGTACCGGTCATCGGATCTAAGGTCACAAGTATACCGGCCGACAATTATTCATAGAAGAAATACGGCGAGAAGAAGATCGACGGATCAAATTATCCAAGGTAATTTACTAATTTATTACAGATTTCTTCAATTGAATGACAAATCGAAACCGAATACTAAAAAAATGAAATAATTAAAGCTTCTGATCTTCAAAGAGATTGATATTAATTCTTATTCCAATTTCAAATGTGCAGAGTATATTACAAGTGCAATACCGGAGAGTACCAACTTGCTCCTAAGGTAAGATGGCCCAAATGAAAAATTACAAGTGCAATACCGGAGAGTACCAACTTGCTCCTAAGGTAAGATGGCCCAAATGAAAAACTAGGGTAAACATTGTCACACCTACGTGGCAATGACCTGGACTTCTTTAATCCATATGGCAATGACGTGGAATTGACAAAGTGCAAGATAGGATGGTGTCACCGGAAGGCCCCCTTCAAATTTTAAAAAATGACCTTTTAACGTGCCTCAAATGCAAAAAATAGTCACGAGGGACCATTTAAACCAATATACTAAAATATACTAAAGTTTGTTGAACTATAGTGACAATAACCCGAAAACTATTTATTCACAATTAAACACATATATAAACAAGTACTGCATAGTAGACACTCACAAAGCACATAGTATCAAAACATTTCCTACTAGCATCAGAAAAACTTATCAAACTATTTAATCCTCCAAGTTTTGTTCGACTACAACATTTTGTGTCAGTGTCATACACAGTAAAAAGTTTTTTTGCAACATCAAGAAACCTAAAATCTGTCAGCTGTTGCCACCTCAGGTTGAGCTTCCCTTTGTCTTCCTTTCGCAAGATATGGGCCCTTTCTAATAGCCTCCACCAGCTGCAATAAAAAAAATATATATATAAAAACTCTATAAATAAAGTATGTCATAAATGACTACAAGTTGTACTTCTGAAAAGAAAACCAACCTTTTCGGCTGTCCCCGAAAGAGCTGGATCGTTCAGAAACTTTGATGATGATGAAAGAGCCTTATAGATCGCCTCAATACAATTATATCTAGCCTCCATGCCTTAAAAGTAAAATTCAATGAAATTAAAAAAAAAAAAAAAAAAAAAAAATCCAAATAAGTAATAAAAAGGACCCAATGAAAATTAATTACCTATTTTAGTTGTTTCTGTAAACGAATCTGTCAATATCTTTATTATCTCTTGTCTGGAACATATTTCCACTAGAAACCATGCTCTAGCAGCCAATCCTGATATCAATCTATAACCCTGAAAAATGCAAATTATATCCCCATTAATCAAATATTTTTTAAAAATAATTAAATTCTTGATATTTAAATAAAATAAAAATATAAAAATCTCACCGCAATACGAAATTCAGACTCGAGTTTGAGAATCGAAAGAACAAGTCCCTGATACATGAAACCAAGTACGAATACATTATTATTATTATTATTACTATTATAACCTTTGAAGTAATTTACATTTTTAGTCCCTAAGTGTATCTGAGTTTTGCAATTTTGGTCCCTAAAAGTTTTCTCTAGTAATTTTTTAACGTTTTCAGTCCCGGTTCCAAGAAAATGACTACTTTTGGGACCAAAATTGCAAAACTCAGTTGAACTCAAGGACCAATGTAGTCATTTTCATTGGAACAGGGACCAAAAATGTAATTTACTCTAATCTTATGGGCTGAATTGAAAAAAAAAAAAACTAACAGATGGAATAAGTTTTGGAGTGTTGGATGCTGTTTCATATATTAATCTTTTAAGGCTTTCTTCAGAATCCACATTCAGTAATTTGTTGTTTTCAGGGCGAGTTCCTCCCACAATATTCCCAAGAGAATGCAATGCAGCCTGTTTTTTTTAATCAAAAAGAAATTATTAAAAAAATAACACGAAGGGTAAAATCGTCATAATGGAAAAAGCTAACCAGTTGTTTTCCACGTCCATGCAGATCAAATGCAGCATTAACAACACGTCTAGCAGCAGATGTGTTTGATATCAACAAAACAGCCCCTTGTGTTGCTACAATCACATTTAGAAAATATAAATTAATACCATTAAATGAAATTTAAAAAAAATGATTTAAATGCTTATATAGATTTATCAAATTACTTACATGACCCTATTTGCCCCATTGCTTCAAGACCACATTCACATTCATCTACATCTTGACTATTATCCAACACTGAAAGCCTTTCATCAATGGCTGAAATCACAGCTGTTATACCTACATCAAAATAAAAAATTCTATAAATATAAATATCATAATTTCACACACACACATACACAAAGAGAAAATCATTTGAATTGAGAGAGATACTGGATTCATCTATAAACATGAGAACATTCTCTTTTGATAAAAGTCGTCCACTTATCATCATTGCCCTTGATCTCAACATCGATTCAGCAGCAGAATTTCTATAAGAAATAATATACAGTTAACAAAATTATAAAAAAAAAAAAAATACTTCTATAGAAATTAAAAGCTTTTTTTTTACCTGATTATGGAAATAAGTAGCTGCAAAATATTGGTGCGTAGAACATATTCCATTCCATGTTGGACCTCAGCCAACTACATACATTAATGAAACAAGATTAAAATGGAATTTCAAGAGGTGATTAAAACAAGGGCATAATGGTAAATAAACCTCATAAAGGAGTTCCAAAACACTCAAGGTTGCAAGTGTATCATTAACATTGCGAACTTCTGCCTCTAAGAGGCCAAGAAGATTTGAGTTGTAAACTAAAGATGCAACTGCATTTGAAGTAGAAAATAGCTTCACTATCAATGCCAAAACCCGAACACGACCCTGAAAGGAAATATTTAAAATATGAGAGATGGAAATTATATAAGAACTTACATTTATAATAAATAGTTAAATACTAATAATAGTATTACAAATTTACAATACCAGTGATGAACATCTTGCAGCTAAATTTGTAATATCTGTAGCTTCATTGGGTGTAGCTGGGAATATGATTTCCTAAAAAATATTATAACCTTTAATAATAGAAAAAGAATATGAGATAAGAATTTTATTATAAGTTTATAATCAATAAATCAGAAAGATTAAACTCACAATCCCTTGTTGAGAGCATGCTAGATCCCTGATTGCATCTGTTGCAGCAACAGCTGCTTGTTCATCACTAGAGCAAAAAAGTAGATAAATAAGGATCTATAAGCAAAGTTTAAAAAAAATTGAAAATTTCAGAGTCTTATCTCACCCATCAACAAGACAATCAAGTAAAAGTGGATACACGCCATTTTCTTTGATTAGTGAAGTGGCTAAACCAGAAGTATCTTCAAGATTCTTCAAAAGGCTGGAGATCTGAGTATATAATGAAAATTTACAAACAGCATGAAATTTTGATTATATAGTGACAAGAATATGTTATGGAAAGTAATATACCGTTTTACATGACAAGGTCCTGACTCTCTGAGAGTGTGCTTGAAGGCCAACCAGAATGAAAGGCTAAACAAGAAGAGAAAGTAAATCAAG